CCCTCTCCGTGCTGGGCCCGCGCAGCAAGGCGCTGGTCGTCTTTCCCGGGTGGGCTGCGCCCTGGCCCCCTCCCACCCCGCCCGGAGGGGTCTGAGTAGGTTTTTAGATGCCCCTCGGCGAGCGTGGTGGGGATCCTTAGCGATCTGGGGCTCGGGTTCCTGCTGGGCCCGCGCTGCCCCAGGCGCTCCTGGGCCAGGGTCCAGAGAGAGGGACCTGAGAATACTGAGAGGCTGCAGCAGCTCCCAAGTTCTGGGTCACAGATCATCACAATTGGAGAGAACCTGCAGACACAGGCACCCCGTACCCTGTTTTTACTCCTGTGGGATGCAGGCTGAGTTTAGGAGAATCCTGCGTTTGTAGGATGGCTGTTAACAGACCTGTGTCCTGCACGTGGCTAGGACAGGCCGAGGGAGCATCCCTCTTCGGGAATACCCAGCTCCGTGACTCAGTAAGGGGTCCCTTGAGGCACGCGCTTGGGCAGCTCAGAAGGAGCAGCAGGGTCCTGGAGATGATTTAGCGTGGGTCCTGCCAGCAGCTTCTGGGGCCAGCTCACCCTCCTGAACATCCATCCCAGGAATCTGCCTCATCAGGGGAAGTAGGGGGGAATCCCCTGTCTCCTTGAGGAACAGGCTGCAGTTCCCATTTAGTACCGGGGTGGCGCCCCAAACTACCCCAGAGAGTCCCCCTGAGGTGGGCAGGGGGAGGAGATGAGTGTGGACCCTCAGTCTCAGGAGCCTGTCCCCTGGGCCCTTCTCGAAGCTCTGGCTGTAGCCCACCCTCCTGCTCAGAGAGCGCATCTGCCCTTGGGGCCCGGATTTTAGGGTTCGCTAGTGGCCTGGAGTGCTGTCTGTGGAAATGGCTGTGGGTCCCTGCAGGCTGCCACAGCCCTGCCCCACCCACAGGTGTCCAGGTCCAGGCTAGAGGTGAGCATGGCTGAGCAGGAGCCTACAGCTGAGCAGCTGGCGCAGATTGCAGCTGAGAACGAGGAGGATGAGCACTCGGTCAACTACAAGCCTCCGGCGCAGAAGAGTATCCAGGAGATCCAGGAGCTGGACAAGGATGACGAGAGTCTGCGCAAGTACAAGGAGGCCCTGCTGGGCCGTGTGGCCGTCTCTGCAGGTGAGTGCGCTGCGGGTGGCAGCTCTCTTGAAGGGACACCTGTCACTCTGCTGGGTTTCTGCTTCCCTGGCTCCTCTCCAGCTGCCTGTGGGGAAGACCCAGGGGGTGGGGCTCTAATCTAGTGTCACTCCCCAGATCCCAACGTCCCCAACGTCATCGTGACACGCCTGACCCTGGTGTGCAGCACTGCCCCAGGTCCCCTGGAGCTGGACCTGACAGGTGAGGGGCACCCAAGGTCCCTGGGTGGGGCTCACCACCTCCCTGTTGCTCCCCCTGAAAATAATTTCCTGGAGCCCCGACGCCCTCTGGTGGGGAGTACGGGAAGTGCCGCCAAGTGGTCTTGGGAGGCTCTGGTTTCCTGCGGCTGGGGCTGGGGGCGCCGCGCAGCCTGAGCAGCTCTTGCTGAGTGTCCTCCTGCACACAGGTGATCTGGAGAGTTTCAAGAAGCAGTCCTTTGTGCTGAAGGAGGGTGTGGAATACCGGATAAAAATCTCTTTCCGGGTAAGGCAGAGGCTCCCAGAGGCACTGGGTGGGAGTGTGGCTGGGGCACCCACCTGACTTGCTTCGGGTCCTTGCAGGTGAACCGAGAGATCGTGTCGGGCATGAAGTACATCCAGCACACGTACAGGAAAGGCGTGAAGAGTGCGTGAGGGGTCCTGAGGGGCGGGCGGGCGGGCGGTAGCCAGGGCCTTTGCTCTCCCTGGGTGCCTGGTGACTGCCCCTTTCTGTGCTGCCCGCAGTTGACAAGACTGACTACATGGTGGGGAGCTACGGGCCGCGGGCAGAGGAGTACGAGTTTCTGACTCCTGTGGAGGAGGCGCCCAAGGGCATGCTGGCGCGGGGCAGCTACAACATCAAGTCGCGCTTCACAGACGATGACAAGACTGACCACCTGTCCTGGGAGTGGAGTCTCACCATCAGGAAGGAGTGGAAGGACTGAGTCGCGGGCCGCGAGGCAGGCAGGGTGACGGCCAGCGGGCGGACGGATGGACGTGCCCACCCCCACCCCCACCCCATACCCCATAAGTGCTGACGGGGCCTGTGCCCCCGCCGCCACTCCCTCCCTGGTCTGCCTCGGCCCTGTGCGGCCCTCCTGTGCCCGCAGGCCCCCAGCCTCTGCGGTGGTCTTGTGTCTTGTTGCTGCTTCTGCCCGTGCTGTGGGGGAGGGAGGTGCTGGCCCCCAGCCTCCACTGTCCTTTCTGCGTCCCCCAGGTTCTCTCCCCTGTCATGCCCGAGGCCCTGGCCTTTAGAAGGGAGCACAGTGTCCTGCAGGGTCTCACGGGGCTCAGGTCCTCCTGAGCCCCTGCTGCTCCCCAGCCTGTTCATCTGTTGCTGTCAGTGGCCATCTAACCATGATGCCTTAACATGTGGAACGTGCTGTGGGGGCCTCGCTAACCTCTAACTCCCCGTGTCTGCATGAGCATGTGGTCTCCCCGTCCCTGCCCCGTCCACAGTCCCGGTGACCCAGGGAGGTGTGGGGTGTGCTGCTGCTCCCCAGCTTGCCAGGGCCTGGTCAACCCTCCCCCTCCCCCCGGCTAGGGCTGTGGGGATGGCTCCAGCAGACGGCCAGCTTCCTGTGGGGAGAGCCAAATTGCCAAAACTCAAGTTGCCTCCAGTCCCATCTGGGAGGCCGGGTGTCCTTGCCCTCTGCCTTCTCTGTCCCCATGGGCAGCACTGATCCACCCCCACCCCCCAAGGGCCCTCATCGAACAAAGCCAGCGGCCGAGCCTTACTCGTCCTGCCTGGGCCCTGCCGGCCAGTCACGTGCCTGGCCTGTCTGTATTTATTGCCTCCACATGTGCCGTCCTCTGGGCTGGCTGGCCTGCACCTCTGCCCCCAGGCTCTTGGTGCCACCATCCCCAGGCAGGCCCCTCCCCGGCCCCAGCCAGGACAAACCGTGGGACCAAGTGCGCACAGAGTCCGGAGCCGTCTCCTGTGCCTCCCCCTCCCTGTCCCCGGTCTCCCATGTAGTCTGCCAGGCTCAGGCCTCAGAACAGGCAGAGGAGCCTGTCCCTGCTTCTCCTCTCCTGACCGGGAAATAAACGCCCCTGAAGGAGCCGGGGGTCTGTGTTGTGTGTTGGCACGTGTCTGGGAGGGGCAGTAGGTTGTCACGGTTCTGTTGCCTCCTGGGCTTTCTCAGCCCAAGGGAAGTTCCGGGACCCTGTTGGGGGGAAGGGGTGGCGATGGAGAACAGAGACCCCTGGGGTCGTGGGGGTGGGGCCATGCTCTCCCAGCCCTGCCACACAGTGGCTGCTGTTCTGCAGCTATTTTTTTGGCTGCTGGCCAGTGTGGGATCTGAACCCTTGACCTTGATGTTAGGATACCATTCCCTAAGCAACTGAGCTAACTGGCCAGCCGCTCATCCTGCACCTATTTAATGGCAAATGAACATAAAACTCCCTTTCTATGTCACACCAGCCCTCCATGTGGCCTGGCTCATGGCTACTGTTGGGCAGTGCAAATCTAGAACCGTGCAGGGAGTTGTGCTGGCCTGTGGTGCTGGTTCTTGCAGAGGGAATCGTGAGGTGGAGGTCGCACTGTGGGCCAGGGGTCAGGGTCTTCTAGATTTAGAACTCTGCAGATGGACCCTGCTTCTTGGCTCTGCCAGACGTTGGGGCAGGTGGGGCCTCAGGCAGGCTCGGGTATCCAGGGCTTGCGGTGAGCACGCCCTCTAATGTCCACCCAGGGCCCTGCGCACACACGTGGGCACAGCCCAGGCATCCCGCAGGAATGCATCCCAACCGTGCAAAACAGAAACCTCACAGAGGATCAGGAACCTTACAAGAGACACTGCATAGAATAACTGGAATGACCTGATTCCAAGACCCAGGGAATGAACGGTGCCAGCTGCAGGTCAGCCTGGTGGAGGCGTGGCCCTGGGAAGCCAGGTGGCCGTGGTATGTGTGGCCGAGGCAGGAGGCCAAGGAGAGGCTCCAAGCCAACTGGCACTTCACAGCTTCCCCCAGAGCATCCTTCAGGACAAGACAGGGCCAGAGTCCCAAGGGTTGAATAGGCTGAGTGGGATGGACCAAAGGAGACTGAGAGGCCCCTCATGCTGCGCTGAGGTGCCAAAGAGCTGCTGGGGGGTGGCTGGGGGCAGTGCACTCAGCAGCCAGGTCCGACCAGCACAGCACCACCCAACACCTCCGTGTCTCAGTAGTGACCTCACTGTGGCACTGCCTCCTCTAGCACCACCCAGAAAGGCACCCAGAAACTCCAGACCCATGCCCCCTGCCCCACCTTCCCTGGACAGGGCAGGAGCAGATGACAGCACACAGAAGGGTTAATCCCAGAAAGTCCCCCTTTTCTGACCTGTTGCCAGTTTTGAAACCTGTCTTCTGCTGTCTTGGCTATTTAGAAAAGTGGTTGTATTTCATGCTTAGGCAGCTGGGGGTGGGCAGCTGCTGTCCCCACCCCCCACCCCCCACCCACACGGGTCATAGCTACACCGTCTTGCTACTGGTTTCTCAGCAGAGTAAGCCCTGTTAGGAGCTTATTGCCAGCTGGGGTGGTCCAGGAGCTGCCCTCTTGCCTCCCAGGTCACTGGCCACACCCCTGTGCCAGGATGGCTCCCATGGGGCTGGATGCCTCCTCGGCCATTGTTTCCAGGTCCCTGTGGGAGCCAGAGACAGGTTGATTCTGGAGCTGTGCTGTACTAGATGACCTGACAGAATGGCACCTCCCAAGGACAGCCAGCCCAGACGCAGATCTTCAGGTCCCAGAGCAGCCCTCAATTCCCCAGGAAGCAAAGATCCTAACCAGTCTCTCCCAGAACTGGTCCTGGCGAGGCTCCTCAGCCCCAGGGCTCTCCAGGCACTTCAACTCCCAGCTCACTTTTTTTTTGGGGGGGGGGGGGGAAGGGGG